ATCCTTCCCAAAAGTAACTTTATGGATATCATCAAGGCTTTCCATTTGTCTTGTGGAAGAAAATTTTATGCAAAATTCCGTCAAACTCAAAAATGTTCCAAGGAACAAATATCGAATTGGCTTCCTTTTACACGTGCAAGCAAGGATAGGTGAAATTAGCTGTAGAATGAAAGCATAGATATGAGCATCATTCGCTGGAATAATCAATCAACAAGTACTGAAACTGCACAAATATTTGATCACTTCGCGCCTACATAAATTAACAGATTCGATGCAATGTATACAGTGTTTGTAGCAATATCTTCGTAACATTATTATATTTGACATGTTTGCGACTAAAATACAGTTCAAATTCAAACGTATTCGCTGTCAGCAAGGGTGATTATATGGCGTTTATATGAACATACAGTTGAAAACCAAATGCTCGTTAGCTCTGAGTACCGCTGTCCCTGGTTGATGTACATTTATAATTAATAGCTAGTATAAAAGTCAATACGGATCTAACATGTACGTACCACAGAAACAGGTAAAAGGGGCACTGTACCTTACAGTATTTGGTTTCAAACAGAGTAAATATGCTACAACTTGGTATATAAGCTAAGTAAACAACAGGAGGAAAATTATATTCAAGTTATTTTGAGAGAAATTAAAATGGTTCAGGGTCAGTTTATCACGATGGTTTATCAATGTCAAGATACGATAAGTCAGTGTTAAGTTTAAAATTCTAACGATACAACAAATATAAAAATACTCCAGCGCAGAAGCAATGAAGGCGGCGTATATTTTTTTGATGTTGGAAGCCCAGCATGCAAAATGACCTGAGCTGCGGCCACTGGACGTACCCACGTATAAAGCAGGAGGTCATATCGGCGTAAGTAATGTTGCGCGGCGAGGACACGTGGGCGTTACGAGAACCGGTGGTTAGTCACTCCAAGATCGTGGACATGTCGGAGAGCAATATCTCCGATAAGAGTGGAAGAATGCATGCATGAAGAAATAATATTCCCGCCTTAGTGTCACGTTAGCTACACTGATGGATCCTTCTCCAAGGAGACAGGATCCAGTGGATTGGCAGAATAATTGGAAGGTAAAGACGTGCAGGAAAGCTTCGCGATTGGAACCTGCACCACGATGTTCTAGGCAGAGATGTTTGCTATCTCAATGGTCTCATGCCAGGAGATTCAGCAGTGTACCGAGCATAGCATATTCATATGCTCTGACAGTCAAGCATAGGCTGAGCATAAGCAAGTGTCAAGTTGAAACTGCCCTGAATAAGTAAGTATATACGGAGCTGGGGAAAGCGTGGCGAGAGGTGAGTGCAGACTGGCCAAGAGGTTCGTAGCCCGACACACTTCAAACGCGCTGTTTACTGGACAGGGATAGAGATTCGCTCAACCTTTTGATCGAGATTATCACCGCTCATTGCAGACTAAACAGACACTAATATCTTTTTAGGGTGAGGAAAGATCCAATCGGCCCCATGTGGTGGGAGGAGTACATGACAGCCTTCCACTTTCTGTGCTGTTGCCCCGTATATTGCAGTCTAAGGGCAGAAATATTTGGCGACAGCGCGTCTGATAAAGATATTGCTTACTCAGCGAAATGGCCGGACATCCTGGCAATTATTAGGAGATCAGGAAGCTTCGACAGATTATGGAATTAACATGTGGAGTAGAGTGTTGGTACACCCGAGGTCAGCAAGAAGGACCAAGCGCGAAGCAATATGGAGAGTGGTTACAATCTAAGGAATACATAATGTCTGCGTACCCTTCAGCTTAGCCTCGCTTTATGCCTATCAGATTGTTCAACAGGTTCACAATTTTTATCAGAGCTTTCCGCCAATGCCGCGTTAAAAGTCTATTTATGAAAAGCCTTTTTTAAAGTATTGAAGAATACTTGGCACTAGAACTGTGAATTGAATTATTATATAATTTATTTTTAATCTGTTTTCAATTTGTTCGTCGGTCATTTTTTTGTTTAGTTGTGATTAATTCACATCTTTTGAATCTGTTTGTTTATGTTATTTTGTGTACATTATGTTTGTATTATTTAATTTATTATCATTTTGACTCTAGTGTTGACCAGATCACAATTTATTAAATATTTTTTTTTTGCATTTTGTGTTCCTTGACAATTTGCTGATAGTTTTTTAAGTCAAATGGCAACAAAGATATTATTATTATTACCATTACTACAGGCTCGTGCCTCTCTTGTTATGATGTACGTATGTATAGCCTCCACATGCTCTTCACAGTAGTGAGCAATGGGCAAGCTTGTTGCGAAGAAAATAAAATTAAAGCCTGATAGCAACATGTCAAAAAGGATTCTCCATTGGAGGCCCACAAAATTAAATACGACGAACAAATACAAATAATCCCGGTACAATGGCAATCGTCAAATGAACGATGGTTAAGCTTGTCTTTTCGGTAATTCATCGGATACAATCTGTGACCAGTGGCTACTGGTGCTGCGATAAGTAACGACTGTCTCGAACCTTTATAAAGCATGCTTACAAAGTCTGCGCTTGCTGTATCTTCACTCAGATTCACAATATGCTGCGTATGCATTCAAATTGGAACATCTTCCAATAATTTTAGATAGAATTGTATAGTTATAATAATGATGATGGCGTTTCTAGCATTGGCGTAAGACTCTCCCTTTCCCCTTCTTATAAGCTTCAATTATTATGCTTGGAGGAAGAGGAAAAACCACCATTGCTAGCATTGCCAGATGTACAAAAATGTTTGATTTGAAGTTTGGTTGATAATTTTAGCTGAACCAGAGATAAGTTAGGGAAAAATGTAACTAATACAAAAAGAATAAAAAATATTATCGGCAAGGTACTCTAATTTGCTGTCATAAATTATCGGAAACAACGCATACGTATATTGCATTATGCATGTGGTGCTTAGTACAGCTGTGGAAATATAGGAACCTTTCAACACTTAATATTAGAATGTACAAGTTCTAACAACGAAAATTCTGAATGGTATAAAATTTTAGCGAATCGCCTTCCTTTGCCTCTAAATTTAGAAACAATTCTCAGTTCTGAGAACCAGCAAGTTTACGAACTTTTATACAAGCATTGTCGGAAAGTAGGCCTAACATTATAAAATGTAAATTAGAGTGAGTTTGTTTGAAAAAATGAAAAAAAGAAGAAAATATTAAAAAAAAAGCAGATCATTATAAAGTAATATATATATATATATATGTAGATATGCATAAATAAAAAAACAATCTTATAAACAAAATAGAGAAAAGGAAAAAATAAGTAAAAAGTATTGGTTAAAAAAAACTTAAAAAAAAGAGAAATATGTGTTCGCATACTCTATGTAACTATAATAGAAATAATGTACAATAGTAATATTAAGTAATGGATGTTCTATTTTCTATTAAAGCATAGCATTATACTGAACATAAGGATCTGGCCAGTTGGTCATCGACCAGTGCCAATAACAGAACAAAAAAAAAAGAAAAAATTCAATTTCAAGTTTATTCATCAAGAGATGTGCCAAAATGACTTTTGTAGAAAATCCGTGAGAATAGATTTTAGAGATTGATCCAAAACTGGCGAAATATGATCAGTGGTATCTCTATAATTCTGGATCCAACCTTAATAAAAGTTACTAGAGAAATATGCACTGGAGCGAGGACAATCAGGCTTTATAATTTTCATAATCGATTCTGCAGAGACTGCGTAAGTACTAAAGCGCTATGAGAATGAAAGAACTGTGTTGTGGATAGCTAGAAAATATATTAATTCTAGCATTCAAACCATATGACACAAATGAATACAACCCTGTTGACACGTTCACTCACTCGCCATTGCTCGGAGTGAGCATATTGAAGATGTCGTCAAGTAAACTAACTCAGTTACATGCATGTTTCCTGTCACTTCGTTTCAGAAATAAAAAGTTTGAGAAGCTATAATAAAAAATATTTTTTTAACCGCTACAAAGCATTGCAACTTTTGAGTCGACCTGCTCGACGCCATCTTCATTTCATTGACAGCAGACAAAGCCAACTGTATCTGTGAAAGTCACATGCGTCGTGGATATGACGTCAGAGATTGTGGTCTTTCACAGCTCAGGTTAGATTTGTTAAACTGTACCTTCACTTAACGCTAATCCTATCGTCTAATATGTTCGAACTACTTACAACGACCGTCTTATATCACACAAGGTTAACGAGGAGCGTTCACTCAGCACACACGATTCACATTTGTCACCTGATTACAATCACAAGCGAGACGATGGTTGTGATCAGCCTGTAAGGTAGCTCGATGGTCTTTTGCGAGCTGGAAATGGTCTCGAGCTCCAAAGGTGCGGGTGCAACACTAGGGAACAGCCAGTTTTCTGTCGGGTCATCGTCGTAGGTCTTTCCACCTGAAAAACGAGATTTCACCGTGAGCCTCATCTCAAGAACACCTTATTTTTTAAATTGCCCTCCTTTTGGCACTGGTAATCGTAGGAATGGAAGACTCTACGTTCAGATATGTATTGAAATCTAAAATAAAGATCACCTCTGATGGTGAACTTTGTGAAGCTTGGGAATTAACTTGTTCTTCGACATTATTTGGACCCAACGAGTCACTGTAACCCTGTTGTCTACTTAAATTCTTTGCGCCTTATGAAACGCTGAGCTACGCACCACTTATTCTTCAATTTTTCAGCTATTCATACCCATAATTTTGATTGCACAACTCCGACTTGGAAAAAACATGACCAAGATGAAGTTGCATCTAACAAAAAAGCAACTGTAGTAACATTTTAGCAAAATTACATCTCTAACTACAAATGAGTTTGTTGTTTTCTCTCTTCCACGCCAAAGTTATACAGATAGAAACCAACATGTATTTCTAATTAGAATGACTGGATGTAGTTTTTCAGGTTTCATGGACAATTTTTTGGTTGTTATTATCACTACTAACATTTTAGATACACTCTAGTCACAACAACAATTGAAAGATTACCATTGGGTAACATCACCTTTATTTTTTATTACGGCTGAAAGTCTTTGGGGCATAGTGTTAACCAAGTTTTGACAAAAATTTGGTGTAAAACAATCCCATACTTCTTGAAGCTTTTGTCTCAGTTCGGTGAGTGTACGAGCAGGATGTTGTAGAACCTTTTTCATCTCGTGCCAGAAAGTTTCAATAGGTGACAGATCTGGACTGCTAGAAACCCATTTCAAAAGTGGTACATTATTTTCTTCCATCCATTTTATAGCCTTCTTTGAGGTATGGCACGCTGCACCATCTTGCTGAAACACAAAATCTTGGCCGGATGTCAAACATTCCTCCATCACAGGTAAAAGCGATTCTTCTAAAATTGCCAAATATTTATTTATATCCACATTTCCATCAATAAAATGAAGTCTTCAACTCGTTTTGATGACATACTGCCCCAGTCCATAATGGATACTGGATATTTCACTTTTCTCTTCAGACAGTCAACATGGAATGCTTCATTTTTTTTGCGAATAACTCTACTGCGACTGTCACCAACACAAACTTCGAATCGGGCGTCATCACTCCATTGTATTGCATACCATTGTTGAGGTGTTCATTGTCTATGTTCTTTAGTCCATCTAAGCCGATTTTTCTTTTGCAGTGGAGTTAATAGTGGCTTTTCTTTGGCCTATAAACCAGTTGTGCAGTTTTAGGGTTATTACTTCACTTTTTTTATAAGAAAACTTACCTTGCAAGTGCTAAATCCCAGTTTGTGGGCCTCTCTTTGAGTTGTGGACCTCGAAATTCTCCTTCCACCAGCGTCACTCCATAGAGCACCTAATTGTAAATAATTGGCACGCCTGTTTTTCACGATTATTCTTCTTAATGCTCTTCGGTAGGCATTTGTGATATTACTTTTTTTCACATATCGTGGCTTAATACTAACTGAACCAGTTACGTTATATCTTCCAACAATATTTCTCACACTGTACCGTGATAATACTAACAAAGTTGCAATTTCTGAGTTTGATTTCCCAGAATTAAAAAATTTCATTATCAGTAACCGAATTTTCTCACTAATAACCTTTCCTCTACCCATTTTGAAAACCTTAACGACCCAAAACTATATTAAACGTATTCTGACAGCTGTAATAAAAACAATTGTCATGGCTTTTATTTTTCACAGCCATCTATGCGTTATAGACTTATTTTGCATTGAAATGAAAATAGGTTGATATGCTGTAATTGCAACATGTGTAATTTTTATGCTGCAGATTTGATTAGGGAGTGATAAAGTTGGTGTTTTCTACTATATATTATCAAAATATTCATCGTTAATATTTTAAACCTGTAACACCCTGCTACATTTCTATTATTTGTGTTTGATGAGAAAAAATCCAAGATTTCAATAGTTGGCCCAACTGAAGTGAAAGTTAAGGCTCCGCTTAGCTTAGGCCCGTATCGTCAGTCGTCCCTACAGTTGTAGGGCGCGTTTATGGCCTCCTTGATTGTCATATACCTTTCTCTCCTTCAAAAATTTCTAGATTACACTTGTCCCGTGTGAGCGTCAGCGATCTCCTATTGTCAAGATATGTTTTCTTTTTAAATTGTAGGAAATTTCAGGCTGATAAAACATGATATAACTCAAAAGCAAGCACAATTTGATGCAAATAGATGTTTGTGACATAACCTAAGAATAGAGCGCTGACACGGAGAAGTAGAGAACTATGATAATCAAGGAAGCCATAAAGGCGCCCTTCAATTGTAGGGACGACTGACGATACGGGCCTTAAAGTAAGGCGTTGCAGCCAAGGACTAATGGTCCAAAAATCTATAGTAGCAATCTTCAAGTAGAATACAAGGACTTAGGTCAGTAACTTTGTCGGAGTGTGCCTCTGCTGTTGATTTTATCGAAAAATTACTGCAACTTAGAGCATAACCTAAAGATAAGGAGAATCTGTTCGAATAGCCAAGTCATAAGAATAAATATACAAAAATTGTGGTAGGTGAAAATGTAAGGGTGGAACTAGATGGAGAGAAGAAGAAGGAAGTGAACACCTCTAAATATTAACGTTCGGCAAAGGATGTTTGAGGAAAACAAGATATAGAAACAAACAGTGTGTCTTCATCGAAACGCTCAACGATTTAAGCTACTTGGCCTCAAAGATGCACAGAGTAAGATGAAGTTATTCAAGACCATATACAGACCTACCGTGATCTTTGTCTCGGAGAAATGGGTTCTTTCCAAAACACCAAATACAAGAATACAGGCTATGCAGATCAAGTTCCTGAGAATGATTGAAGGAGTTTGGAGATCGCACCAAGTCAGAAGTGATAAAAAAGAATAAGCTATCATTAAAGCTAATTCAGTAGAATCAGTTAAAATGGTTAGAACACATAAACAGGATGAATAGCAGTCGACAAGTAAAAGTCATATGGCAAGCTAAGCCTATTCTAAGAAGAAAAACGGGAAGGCTGAACAGAATTAAGATAATGTGATCAAGAACACAGGGTTGGACCGCACAAAAACTGGCACAAAAGAAGAAGTGGAGAGAATTTATAGACAGTATCAGCTGCGGCACGCTGCCTCCTTAAGCAAACTTCCATCCTATGGCCTCCCAGAAAAGCTTTGCAGATATCCGTCGTAATTAACGGGTTCCCCTCTTCATCCCACAACGTCAACGCGGGTGCTCCCCAGGGATCGCTCTTGGTTCCTCTTACATATCAACGACCTCCTTTCCTGCACGATTAACCCAATCCACAGCTTCGCTGATGACAGCATTCTACATGCAGGAATTCAGAGTGACAAGCCGATTTCTGTCGCTGAGCTGGAAAGAAGAAGACTAGCGACGGCTTCCTCTCTGACGAGAGACCTGGAGGTTATCACTGCTTGGGGACGCAACGTTCATGTACAGTTTAATGCTTCCAAAACATAATACTGTATCTTGACGAACAAAAAGCGTCCTAGCGCTCATCCGGTGTCGATATATGGGCAAGTTCTGCCAAAGAGCTATTCATTTCGGCTGGTCGAAGTTTACATCACCGAAGACCTTATCTGGCACGAACACATCTCGTCAATAGCGGCAGCTGCTGGGAAAAAGCTAGGCTATTTGTTTAGGGCTAAGAAGTACTTTTCTCCGCGTGACCTTCTCACTCTATACAAGGCATATAAGGCCTAGCCTCGAGTATGGCTCAGACGTTTGGTGCTGCCGCCCCGACTACATTATTTATGCTCGATGCTGTCCAGAGAAAGGCTGTCCGACTGATCGATAACTCTTTTCTAACAGACTGTCTCGGGGCCCTTTCGCACCGGCGCGGCGGACCGTCGGCGATTTAGCTCTCTTCTACCACTACACCAACGGGCTTTGCTCCTCAGATCTATCTTCCATGATGCCGTTGCCGATGTGCTCGCCAGGCAGACCCGATTGACTTTGGCCTCTCATCCAGAACTGGCCGATACGCTCGTTTGTCCCGAGGGTGCCGAGATTGTGGAACAATCTACAAGAGGAAGCTTTTCCCAGTTCTACCAACCTTAGGCAGTTAAAAATTCGGATTAACAGAATTTCTTTGGGATCATCATAGCAGGCTGCTCGGCTGCCTCGGTATATAAAAAAGGTATCACAGTGTGGCTAGTTCGTTTGTAATATATTTTTCGTGGCGCACACCATCAGGATCATCAAACGCTGAGTTGGTGTGATGGTAATACATCTCAGTGACTGTCTCAATTGTGAAAAGCATAATAATACATGTTATCGGCATTTTAATTAAAGCATCATAAAATGGCATAGTTGCTAATTGTAGACCATATTAAAGGCCTATATAACATTAAACATCTACGTCACATTCAGTATCGCAAAACCACAATAAACCTCGTGAAATGTAAAATGAATTAGCCTGGCAATTAATTAATCATTTTATTACTCGTGTCATGGAAACCGAGAGACATATCAATTTATTACCACTTTACCTCTAATAAGGTCAATCCGAATAAAAAAAATTCCCCGAAATAATTGTAAAGTTTGGTTTTATTGATGCAAGCTGTTCAAGAGGGACGCATAATATGGGTACATCAATTTTCGTGGAAAAACTTATTATTCTACAACAAAGAATGAGAAAACGTGGTTTTTGAATTTCAATCAAATGTATTGGCAGGAACTAAAACACTCTTCAAATAATATCTTGAGGTATTTACGAGTCCTACAAGATGAGACCACACGTAAAAAGGTCCGGCGAATAGCAATGAAGTTATGACGAAAAACCGAGGAAAAATACAGAATTTGGCACTTGTTGGTTATGAGACGAAAATTTCACGCAGATACTTGAAATTTTTTAAGTTAGAAATGATGAATCCAGTGATTGAAAACTCGGCTGACAATTGTAACTTTTAAAATCGGGAGGTATCTAAATTAAACTTTAGACCTTGCTTCAGATGATCTCGAAGAGTATTTTGATATTAGATTTTCGCACGCTACCTAAATATGCTGAAATGGAGTTAGATTTATTTTCCATTCTCATCAAAACTAACACTTACCCACATGACCATAGAAAGGCGGAGGAGTAGATTTCGTGGGACTGCTGATTTCTGAAAAGAAATTGATAAGCATTACTGGAATGGCCGAAATGGACGGACAGCATAAGCGCAATTTCGAAGACATGGCGCACTTTTTGATGCTATACGTACGCAAAATGCTCCTCACACGACGCGATGTTAGTGCGGTTGCTGTGGGCGGATAACAAATGCATGACGCTTTAGCGCTACATCAGAGCCAACGCCTCAAATCTACATCAACAATCGTGCGGCCCAGTGTATGAACATACAGTCAGCCAAACATCGACAATTTGGAGCTACTGTGGATAGTTCTGTAGAGACAGAGCAACAACAGAATGGAATGACGTAACTTCAAGTCATTTGGAGCAACACTGGAAGCCTTCCTTCACAGCGTACTCAGTTTTTATCTAACGAAGACGTGGTTACATGACTATCATTCGTCGTACTTGTACGACAGGAACGACGCTTGCTATATAAACTGACAGCGCCATCACGTAGAAAACCCATGTAATGAAAAAAAAAAACGGTAAAATGTCAACATGTTCACTACGTAACTACTAGTGTGCCGCTAAATAATTCCGCGCGTAACACAGGTGAGCATGAAGTGAACGTCAGCTGTTTCAAAGGTGATATTTTATAGGACAACCTACACAATGTCGTAAAAAATCGATCGCCTTTTGAGTTACGTAATACGGATGCCGCGCTCATGTGGCGTTGAGAGCTCGACAAAAGTTATTGTCAAGTTTAGAGTAAGCAAACTTGGAGATTGACCTGCGGCTGAAAAACTGCGATTTGATCGATTAAAATGACGACACTATCAAGTCGGAGAATGCCGCTGCGGAATTGTCGCAAAAGTAACTGAGAGTGCCCATTCCCATCATTTTGATTTTATTGCGAAAGTAGAAGGCGAACATCTCGCCTTTGCGGCTACATCGGCTTCCTTAGACGACAAAACCAGCTTTCCGCATGAGTTGAGGAACTTTTAGAGCGCACATGTGCAATAAAATTGAAACGGTTCTTTCGTTCTTTCAGGCCAGTGGTGGGCGTGCAAAGTGCCTAGTTAAATCGCAAACAACATTTCGTTCTAGGTAAATAAAGCATGAATGGGGGTATTTTAAATTATACGGTAAGATACTCTAGAGAATAAAACAAGGTTTATGCATTTAAAATCCTGCAATACAGAGGCAAGATTACATTTTTAACAGATGAAATCGACTGTCTTGTTTCGAACCTTCGACGCAGAAACGAGGGTTGAGTATAAGTTTGTAAGGTATACAGGGTGTTACACTGGTAGATATATATATATATATACAGGGTGTCCGCAAAGTTGGGGTTTTCCGTTTCAGAAACAACTACCCTTGAAATAACAAAGGTAATGTGTAGTGAAACGAGGGCGACCAAGTAAAAAAAAAAAATAAAGGAAAAAGTACTCACTCTCCAGTTGACGAGAAGGGCTAAGTACGTCTCTGCCCGAAACCATACCGCTCCAACAGAAAATGAAATCAGCTGATGCGCTACCGAGCAGACGCAAGCAAACAAGGATGGCAAAATGTTGCGTAATGACGAAACATGAGTGTTGTGAAAGTTATTCACCCCATTACGCGTGAACGTAGATTCGTCTGTCACCAATATGCACTTCAAAAAGTCCGGATTATTGTCATGTTGATGCAACAAAAACTCACAAAGCCACTCACTCTTGCTGGAAAATCATCAGGTTGAAGGGCTTTAGTTTTTGATACTTGCACTTCTCTAGCCACGTCTCTAGTTCTTGTTGTTTTTTGAAACGCAATCGATTATATGGGTTCGTTTACCTCTACACGCGTGACCGTAACAGTCGGTTGAAGGTTGCATACTGACCTGACATACTGACCCCGACCCAGTTCTGTCGTCGGGTTGAGCTAGTGTCCTAGTACCATTCGGGGATATCGCGGCTACAGGACGGTATTCAGATATTTTTGATGTTGCAGAGCCCTTTATCTCGGTTCCCTTAAGACATTGGTGTATATGGTACTAAGAAAAACTGCTTATGTTTTCAAGGTCTACACGTCGTGTAAAGGAAAACCCCAACTTTGCGGACACCCTGTATATATATATATATGTATATTGACTGTAGGTAGAGGACACTGTGGTTATTCTAAATAACCCACGATTGATATATCTTTAGCCTCTTATAACCGAAGAACAGGTAGTTTTATTAATTTTGGCAACTTTTTCATGACTTCGCAACATTTTAACCATTCTATATTTTTCTGAAACTTGGTACGCGTACTTTGCTTATGCTATTTAATCAAGTACGATATGAACAAGAGGAAGAAATACAGGGTAAGACCAGTTAAAAATTAACAAAACCGCCCTACCGTGTATATTCAAATTTCTTACTTTTTTACATATTTGGAAAGAGCACAGAAACATCATTCCAGTGATCAACTGTTTTTGAGCAGAAGATTTCGTATGAGCTGAAGATAATTGATTTTGTTTGTTTTAAGACTTATTAATTACAAAACTGTATGCGCCACATTGCTAGACTTAAAATAAGATCATCTTATCGATTAATCCGTAATAAGAACTAAACCTTATCGGCTGAGTATCCACATATTGAGGAACTTGCATTGAGGAGCTCAATCGAATTCATTTACAGAGGATTATAAAGATTATACATTCAGTGTAAATGGCAACATTGGCTCGGTGGTACCCATACATAAAATTTATGATTAATAATAATAATATTCATTTGATTTCAATTACAATTACACATGTTTCAGGTGAAATGTAAATAACGTGCAAATACATATGAAAACCCACAGAAGGCAGAGCCTGTGCATGGTGAGACATCTATACAGTATTCAATCTTTATCAGTATAATTGTCATCATAGGTACAATAGTCATGATCGGGTGTGCGACGAATTTGAGAATGGCATATTAGGAAGGTGGAAAGTTCATTTTCTTTAGCTGTATGCTTGGATAGGCTTCACCTTATATATTAGTAGCTTTTAAAAGAAATCCTTGACAGATTATGAATGAGTCCAGACCTGTCTTTCTTTTCGGGTTAGTATTCCATTCGATTCGATAGAATAAACGGGGTACGCATATCCAGTTTGACAAAGATATACAGGGTTGTTTGTAAGCCAAAAAAATACGGCCAAAGTTATCAAAACATTATGTGTGTTCCATTTTATTTGAAACCTGGTACGCATTTACAGCCTAACCTAACAAGCAGATTGAGTGACTGACGGAAAAATACCCAAAAACAGCTGTTCGTTTACTGCCTCCTCAAATCACACTATTTGGATGCATACCACAGAGCCCACGTTGTCATTTACACTCCTTGTGATATTCAGCTGTGTAATAATGTTTTGTATGTAAATGTAAATGTACATCTTAAATGAAAATTAAGCTCTCCATTCGGCCTTGGAAGTATATTTTTATTGGTCTGGATGAAGTAGCTAATCAATAACATCTTATAAGTAAGTCATCACTTACTTCTAAATATTGCTCTAATGTGGCACATGTAGTCTTAGGGCGTAAATTATAGAACTATTAGACCATGAGGTACACAGCTTTGAACTCCAAAGTCAGAACCTCCAGCTCTTACACAATCGTCCGTTCAAATAGAACGGGGTTTTTGTGCTCTTTCCTAATATCTGAACAAAATACAAAAATTCCTATATACAGAGTGTCTTTTATTAGTAAAATAGTATTGCCAAGCTTCAACTAATTCGGCCCAATATTTCTCCCCCTACTCGTATCAGTGTTTGTCATTTACAGTTAAAATATCGCCCTCTCCCTCTCCCTGTATATGTGTATCTGCATATCTGTCAGTAGCATCGTAACTCCCTAGCGGATAAATAAATTTGAGTTTTTAGTTAAAAACGAAGGACAGTTGTGCGCAATAAAGGAACAGGAGCAAAATTAGAATGATTGGTCACCCGAGCGACGACGTACGTTTCTACTTGTTGGCTTCATCTAGGCCAAATGAATGTAAATCAAAAACACCGAAGTACAAGCACCACATCTGGATACGGGTATAGCCTAAAAGAAGGCGAACATGGGAAGCGTCATACAACCAGAAACAACGTCGCCACAGAGGCCAGATATATCTACATGTTGTGGTACGTCAAGCCCATGCGGTACTTAGATGAAGAAACGAGTTGTATTGTAATCTCATGCAAACAGAAATGAAATATTAACATAATTAGACGTGTTATTTCTCCCCTCTCATGCAAAATACATCGAAAACGAAACTGACGCATTTACTGGCAGCTCATTTTTTTTTGAAAAACGCTCAGACCCGTCGATTTTGTTTTCGAGGGGGACACAAGTTTGGCAAGAAATCACGTGCAGCCCCCTGGGCGGGGGTGACACCAACCCTAAAATCTTAAATGGAAGGGCGGGTCGAGTGATACCTTATTTTAAAGGTCTTTCGATTCCCTTTATAATGATGTAAAATACATGGGCTGCAGTTAAGTAGTTTTGAAGATTTATTGATTTAAAGCTTAAAGTAGACTTTAATAGGTACATCAGATTAGTTTGTACTACTTTCAGAAGAAATTTGACTGAAAGAATTTACTCAATAAGTAAATGGCTTTTCTTCACTACGCCCATGGTTTGTTTATCATTTTGTGTTGAAAATAGCTGTTGGGGCGTTTTATTGTGGCAAAAAAATTATTTCTTAAAGAAAGATATGGAAATATCTCGTACTTATTTTAAGTAGGAATTTAGTACATAGTTTGAGATTGATTTGACCAAACTTTGTTACTAAAATAGCTTGTAACGCTTTATTACATAAATTAACCATGGTATATTCCACATCAGAAAGAGTTGAAATTATCGAAATATTTTTCGGAAATAATCAGTGCGCTAATAGAACAGCAGAAATATTTAATGAGTGACATGAGAACAGTAACGTGCATCTAAATATGTTCTAGAAGTTGTAGCTAAATTTCGGGAAACTGGGTCAGTCGCCAATAAAAAATGCAACATTGTAAATCCCATAAGGAACGAAGCAATAGAAGTGGGGGTTTTAGGGCAAGTTTATGTAGATTCTACGTTCACAAACACCCTCCTACCCTGTGCGGTCCCTCCACCACCCCTGTTCCAGGCAACCTCAAACACTTGAGGAGTGGGGGGAAGAGCAATCTGCTCCTCCCTCCTCTCCCGCCCGAAGGCCTTTCGTGGCGCTGCGTGCTTCAGACCGCTGCGCATTCCCCGAGTGTGTGCTGCCAAACGAGTTAACCCCCCTCCCCAATTTTGCCCCTTTTTCCCGAAATTTGACTCGATCGCGCACGCGTCGCGGAAGCACGTGGTGGACGTTTCTTCCAACTGTCTGTTCTCGACTTTTATGGACGGCCTCTTTCTTGGGGGTCCTGCGCTGGGGGCTTTGACCTAAGCCCCGCATTAAGGATAGGAGATCCTACGTTAAGTACCCGCAAATTGGAGACTGTGTGTGGTGTTAGTCGACGTACTGTCCAAAGGATTCTAAAGGCCCATAGTTTTCATCCGTATAAAATTCACCTGGTACAACAACTTAATGAAGACGATTTTCATCGGCGATCACAGTCTTGTGAAGATATGAGTGGACGAATTATAAACGATGAACATTTTCTATTCAACACTTGCTTTTCCGACGAATGTTCCTTTTTCTTAAATCCTAACTGCCGAAATTGGTCCTGTTCTAATTCCATAATTTATCATGAGGTTCATAAGCAGCAGCCATAAAATTAAATGTTCGGGCTGGTAATTTTGGCGATCATTTAGTTGGTCCTTTGTTCTTACCTGAAAATTTGACCGGTAAAATGTATTTGGAATTACTGGAAGACGCCATAGATCCTGCATTAGCAGCCATAATTGAAAATCAGAATGATCGGCGGTACATAGCGAGTAGGTTGATGTTTCAACAGGATGCTGCCCCACCACATTACGCATTACGTGTTCGACAATATTTAGATCAGATCTATGGATTGGTAAAAGAGGTACCATTGAATGGCCCCCAAGATCGCCAGATTTATCACCTTTGGGTTTCTTTATCTGGGGTCATATAAAAAGCAAAATCTATGCTACTCAGCCAACATCATTAGAAGACCTGCGAGAAAGAATTGTGAATGAGTCCTCAAATATTGCAAAATGTGCGGCAAGGTTTTGACCAAAATGTTTATTATTGAATGGAGAATCATGGTGGCCATTTTCAACATTTACTTGCCTAACGGGTCAGTTGATTCTTCATTTTTAAATTACTTTGCTTCCAAATGTATTGGTCTCCACTAATGATGATGTATATATTATTTTATTTAAGCTTTAAATCAATAAATCTTCAAAACCACTGAAGTACATTAATTTTTTATCATTATAAAGGGAATTGAAAGACCTTTAAAATAAGGTATCACTCGACCCCCCTTTCCATTTAAGATTTTGGTGGCGGTGTCACCTCCGCTTAGGGGGCTGCACCTGCTAACGTGATTTTTTGCCAAACTTGTGTCCCCCTCGAAATCAAAATCCTCGGGTCTGAGCGTTTTTTAAAAAAAACTGAGCTACCAGTAAATGCGTCTGTTTCGTTTTCGATGCGCCACCCTGTATAGTACGACAGCTACGGTTTACTACTTTTTTTCTAGAAGTAGGCAGTTTTTACTTACCCAATATTAAATTCGTCTCGGTTGTGGTGGTGGTGGTTGGAGTTGTGGTAGTAGTTGTTGTAGTTGTTGTGGTACTCGTCGTTGTTAACCTGATTTCTGCAAATAAAGAATGAATTTTGTTCAGATCGATATTATCTTTGACCTTGTTCTGCTTGTTGAGTGGCACACATAACGAAAAATATCTTTTTTCATGCATTGCTCAATTTACATTCTTACTTAATAAACCTACCAGAAGCAGCCTATAAGAGTTTGGAAAGAACGGAAGATATATATGGGCTGTCAACTACATCCAAGTGAATGTAGCACAAATGTCTGGTCTTCTTGTAGTGCTATATTTCATCATTCAAGTGAAAGATGACAACAACACCTCGTCGGTAACTTAGAGGGGACAGAGCAGAACTTCGAACACCGAAACCTTATAAGATATCATTGTTAAAAGACTTAAATAGTAACTGGACGCATGATTTCGCTTTGACTGATGGATATACAGGGTGACCTTAGAGTTCAGACTTTCCTTCACGAGAGTCATGCAAAACTATGAAAAAATCCCAAAGTAGATTTATAATACGGGAGTCATCCAAATGCGAACATGTACTTATTCGATTTGGGCTTTCTTACTCATTGCGGTAGTAAACAGATACAGGTTATGTATTCAATGATTACTTAAACCGAGAAAAGCGGCAACGCGCGATATCGAGCACGCTGCTGCAGCTCGAGCGTCGTCGGCGGTCGAGTGTGAGCGCTCCACCTGAGAATTGGACAGTGTTGCCTTTCTTTAGTCTAATGCGTAATCTTCCGTAGCACAACCTGTATATACAGGGTGACTTCGAAGTTGAGGCATTTATTTTAACAGTGAGTAGATCTGATCATAAGAAATGTTTTTTTCCTTTACCATTTTTCTGGTAAAATTAAAGTAACAAAGTTATAGCCGTTTGGAAGTTTGAGTACCGCCCTGTCTCAATAATAATATTATGTGCTCGTGTTTGGCGGCAACGGATATAATCCGCCTTATCGGTTCATCGCATTGGAAACAAAAAAGCGAAAGAATTTGGAACGATGTTTTTACAAGTAATTCATTCCGTTGTATACAGTCAGTGTCAGTCGGTAACGCGTGAGTGAATAGTGGTGTCTGTTGCGTGGCTCAAACGAAATCAAAAATGGCCCATGTTTACGAAAATGCTGAACTTGTGGACATGATTCTTATTTACGGGGTGGGGAGTCGGTTTCCCAATCGAGTGTACCCAACCCCTCGTGCCTTTGTTAATGTAGTACAAAGGGCTCGTGACTTAAGACCTCACAGGGGAGGGAATATGCCGGTGCTCCAAGACCGCACGATCAAATACAGGTCCGCACTGAAATACTTGTCGGGAGGATACTTTATAAAACAAGGTAACATTTTTTTTTCATTTTTATTTATTTTTACACACATATTTTGGTTTATCTTCCTTCTACAATCATTATCTGAAAATTAATGACTCAACTTCAAAGTTACCCTGTATACCTCACGTTTTGCTAAGCGCGGAAAAGGTTAAAAAAACGATAATTCATACGTATAACTACGTCGTATTTCTTCTTCGATTCGTCATTGACTGTCAAAGAGGCCCATAGGTCCCAAAAGTCAGGGAGAAAGTAGGGAAGAACGGAGGTAGAGCAAAGAGGCCAGTTTGGAGTCATCGCATTGCTTATCAGTATTCATGAATTTCAAGTTAATCCTAAAATTAACTTAGATGTTAGTGTAGAAAAATTATAATTTTGTACCTACAGTCACACGATTTACTCTTGTTCATAGCACAAGCCGCAGTTCTATGTGCTTACGAACTTGGTGGACTGTGTAGTCTACTGACTCATGAAACAATGGGTTGCTATGCGATTCTGCTTGACTATAACGTAGCTGCGCTTGCCGTTTGATGCAATCTTTCAGATAAGGGATGCAGAGGTCTCATTGGGCGTCAGTGATTGTGCGTAAGGTTCTGTTCTGCAAAACCTGCAGACTAGGTAAATTCGTTTTGCAATGTCGTCTTTATTTTACACGTACTTATAATGCCTTTTGTGTAACGCAACTTGCCATGCGTACATGGGACTCTTCAGAACATAGACAGGTCAGATACAGAAGCCTATTTCAAGTTGTTCAATTGCCGCACCACTCAGACTCGCAGTTATCCATGAATTGATATTGAAAATTCTAAGCACGCCATTGGCAATGCAGCTATACCGTCTTGGTTTATGGCGATAATTTACGATTTGTTGATGACGTGATGCAACCCTTGCCCGAACCCGCTGCTGAATACCAACAAGGATTTGGTGTTTTTCTCTACCCTTACCACTGAGTGGAAGAGTTCTATCCCCAAACTCTGCCTTTTATCAACAAAACATGTTTTTTGTTTTTGCTTTAGGAGAACTTATGGTTTTGTCTGTGAGCCATGCTAGTAATAAAATGTTTTATTGTTATTGCTATTAACAACTGGAGTGGGCATCAACCAGTGATGGGCGTTTACGCGTATACATTAATTGTCTACGTCACACAAGTGAGGTTAAGGTTATTCGCAAACGACAGAAAGTTCGTAAACAGTGAACTACCAACTTTAAAAAATATGGTTGGACGCCCCAAGAACAAATAGGGGTTCACTGGGGTTCATTTTGTTTAAAAATGGAAAGACACATTCCGTAGAGTGTAATGTCTGCAATAAAGTTGTCCAACTAGGCTATATCTGGATTGAAATCATACAATTCTTTTGTTCTAATTTACTTAAGAAATGTTACCAAGTTATTTAAAACTGCATGTTTGTATACGTAGGTATATGAATAGATATTATACAGGGTGTTTCAGTTTATTGTTGCATAACTTTAGGATTCGATAGAACTTCTAAAATTAATGCATAAAGTCTATATAAACATGGGTCGAAAAATTCGGGGCTTCCGAAATACAGGGTGTTTAAATTTACTTTCTAAAATAGTTTTTTTTAAATATTTTGAACAATATTTGATGCATAACAGTGAAAATTGGTATACAAGGGTTCTTTGGTACGACAAAACGAACCATGGGCATAGTTTTACTGTAGCCGCTAGAGGGCGCTCTCTACTGTACCTGTAGTGTATTAAAATGACCGAAAACTTGTTCTTAGTGCAATTTTTTGCCTTTTGAATAAAAAAACTGATTTTCCGCACTTTTCAACATAAAAAAGCTCTCCTGTGAGTTTTCGTTATAGTTAGCCGTTTTTGAGATATTTCGATTTTTAAGCTACGATGCATTTTTAATTATTTATGGGAAAATAATATTTTTTTACATTTTCGATTTGGGCATTACAAGTAATTAAGATGATCGTTCAGATTGTGTTTTTAAACACAGTAATAATTCCTAACTCCAAATAAACACAAAAAAACAGAATATTAATTTGTTTAATTTTCCAATATTATTTTTAACAAATTAAATTAATTATTTAGAACTAAAATGCTATTGGATAGTTAGGACAAACAAAATCTAAATTAATTGCTCGAAATGTAAGCCCAATTGTTCAATACACAATTCACATCTAGGAATGATCGAACGTGGTATAGCATTATTCAAATAAGGCCTTATTTCATCACATGCATTCCTGATTCTGTCTATTGGCAAATCTCTTGTGGTTACTGGAGTCTGGTACACTTTTTCTTCTAGAAATTCCCACACAAAGAAATCTAATGGATTTAGGTCAGGGGATCGTGGAGGCCAGGCGACTGGTCCTCCATGGCCGATCCATCTTTCTGGATAATTTTCGTCCAGCCAGTTTCTAACCATTCTCGAATAATGAGCTGGACAACCGTCAAGCTGGAACCAGGCCAATCTTCTTAAATCTAACATAACATCATCCCACATATTTGAAGGTTCAGCCTTTAAAAATTCCAAGAAGGTCGCAGCATTAAACCTTGCAGGCAAAAGGTAGGGCCCAAATAGTCGATTACGGTAGATACCAATCCACTCGTTCAAACTAAATTCATGCTAAAAATTTCTTTCTTGAACTGCATGCGGATTCCCATGCGACCAAATATGTTGATTTTCATAAAACTTACAAAAAAAAACAGGTAAAAGGAACTAAATTTCGTGCATTCACAATTGCAAAAAAACGCTTCAGGTTTCAACAGACAACAAAACTAACTGTCAACTAATTGACGTTTAACCTTATTCTGCTTTCAATTTCAAAAATATTTGCAGGCACAGCCTACTTCTGAAAATTATCGAGATACTGACTTTTTAACGTTATTTTATCATAAATAATTAAAAATGCATCGAACCTTAAAAATCGAAATATCTCAAACACGGCTAACTATAACGAAAATTCATAAGAGAGCTTTTTTATGTCGAAAAGTGAGAAGAATCAGTTCTTTGATTCAAAAAGCAAAAAATTGCACTAAAAAAAATTTTTCGGTCATTTTAATACACTACAGGTACAGTTCTATCGAGTCTTAAAGTTATGCAACAATAAACTGAAACACCCGGTATATTTATACCCTTTCTCATCATCTATAAACTGCTTTTACAGTCAAACCAGTAATGCAATGCTTCAAAATTTGTAGTGATCCTGAACTTCCACTTCCACCTAAAATCCCGAGAATTTGGGATTTACTATTTTTTTTCCATTACAGTTGCACAATTCACACTTTCACGTCATATTCTGCATAGCTTTTCCAGATACAAAAATGATTCTCAAAATCGTTTGACAACGCTTTAGCTTATGAAAAAGCTATAAAAGATGTTACCCTGGGACCTCCAATATAACATAGCCTATGTTTTGGCGAACGCGACCATGCTGGAGCTGATTCAATTCAACCACTTGAACTATATACTGATAAGCCTACATACTAAATACCACTGGGATAAAAGAGAAACCTTTCAAGACTAATTGGATCAAAAGTTCATCCTGCAATTAACTCTAAAAACGAGCACGCCACTATGAAACTCTGGACGGACAGGGTTTTGTTGTTTTTAGCGAATGCAGCTTCACATGGGAAAATAATGTGAAAGCGTTTCTGCGTTCGTAAAAATTTCATAACATGCCTGATGTGGTTCCGCTTAGACCTGAAAATAAAGCTCCGAGAAACAAACCCAACCTGCGGCAGATACCGATGAAAAAATTCCTGATGGTAAACACAATTGTTTTTGATTTTGAACGGAACAATAGGTATACTGACCCACTGAAGTTTGTGGTCAGATAAATTAAAGGAACATTGTTAGCACGGCCTATAGAAATTTTGCACCCTTTGAAGGGTTGCAAATTGAAAACTGAAAGTATACCGTTACCAATACACAGAACCACGGTTTATTTCCTACCCTTGAGAACAAATTTACGGCAGCCTCAATACGTACCTAATACCGAGTATAACAACACGTGTTTTACTAGCTCCGTTAAAGCTTCTAAGATCGGTAGTGAGACCCCATTGAAAATTTGTTTGCGAGTGTCATAGTTACGCTCACGTAATTCCTGAGCATTGGGCACGTTTTCTGGTTCATCTTTAATAGTTTAACACAGTTTTTTGATAATAGCTAACCTCTACAATCTCTGGTGGAATTTCTGGAATTTTCATTGAAACAAAGTGGAAATAGTCTCCAGTGGCGAACTTGTGTTGATTTAGGAAACATTTGCACACAAAATTCAGAATTATGCCAGCTAGAGTCCCTTGCAGCTGCTGTAATCAACAGTGTGAGCCTCATCAAATTGTTACGTGCTGTGTTTGTAAGCAGAAATACAAGCATTCCTGTGTGGAAATCAGCGCAAATGAGGTTCGTACTTTAAATTCGAGCAAGGGGTACGATTGGACCTGTAAGGACTGCAGATCCATAGGTAAAGACACTAATGACTTGAAGGCACTAATCATCGATTTGCGTAATCAAATCAAGGATTTGATAGCTGACAACACCAAAAATGCAGATTCAAGTTTTTCCATGGAAGACATCATATCTCAGATTTCAGAGCGTGAAAGACGTAGAAACAACGTAATAGTCTTTAATGTCACTGAGCGTGATCAAAATAAAGCCAGAAGTGAGCAAAATGATTCTGATAAAACAGTTGTCGTCAACTTGTTACGCGAAGCTGTCCCTGATGTGAGGCTAACCAACATAAAAGTGATGAGATTAGGAATGTTTTGCGGCACAAAAGTTAGACCCATCAAGGTAATACTTGACAGCTATGACTCAGCATTGCAAGTTCTGGTGCCAGGCGTCATGAAGCAGGAGATAATAACTGTAGGATCAAGTTCATCAACAATGTACCAAGGATTGTTCCTTTAAACTAGGTCGGCCCAATAGTGGATGTAGTGATTTTTTGACCGTGTACTATCAGAATGTTAGAGGGCTAAACAGCAAAATTAACAAATTCTATCCTGCTGTGAGTGACTGTGAGTATAATGTATTTGCTTTAAGCGAAACGTGGCTAAATCCCGAAGTAAACTCTCTCGAATTATTTCCCAATTCTTTTGACGTTCATCGTAAGGACAGAAAACATAATCAATTGAACCTGTCAATGGGTGTTGGTGTACTACTGGCATTTGAATCGGCTCTTAACTCTGTTGTAGTAGATACTACGCAGTTTGATACAAATTTCCCAGAAATAGATTTTTTGGCATGCAAATGCATTGTATCTGATCAGAATCTTTATTTCGCTGTCATATATGCTGCACCACATGTTTCTGTTGATATATTTGAAGCTTTTTTCGAAATGTTAGAAAACTGGGAAATCATACATTCCAAACGTGTTGTCTTTCTGGGTGATTTCAATTCTCCAAACTTTGTGGAAAATAATTTAAATGACTACATTGTTAATTGGCTCAACTTCTGGATCATGAAACAGTATAGTAATATTCATAACCAATATGATAGAATCCTGGACTTAGTAATAAGTAACATTGATTGTATTGTTTATAGAGATTTAGCTCCATTAGTGGATGAAGACGTGTATCGTCCTTCTTTGTCTGTAACACTAAAAACTGTCTGCAAAAAGACTGAATACGTCACAGTCAGTACTGACCAAAGAAGATATAATTTTAGACGTGCTAACTTTTCTTCGCTGTATAATTCTTTGTTATTGGTTAATTGGGATTTCTTGGATAACACTAGTGACACAAATGATGCAATTAATGCATTTTATACCAAACTTTACGAATTATTTGATACACACGTTCCACAATATAAAAATTTCAGGCATAAATGTCCCTCTTGGTACACCAGTGAAATTATAAAACTAGTAAAACAAAAAGACAAAGCGCACAAATAATTTAAAAGGTCTGGTGCTAACGAAAATTACCAAGAATTCGGCAGAATCAGGAAAATATTTAAGCTTAAAACCAAAGAGGCATATAATATCTATCTTCAAACCATTCAAAATCAGCTAAATGATGACCTTCTGGTCTTTTGTACATAGTAAAAACAACACTTCTAGGATTCCCAATAGAATGTTGTATGGAAACGAGTCATTTGGTGATCCGCAAAGTACAGTCAACGCCTTCGTACGCCTTTCGTACATAGTAAAAACAACACTTCTAGGATTCCCAATAGAATGTTGTATGGAAACGAGTCATTTGGTGATCCGCAAAGTATAGTCAACACCTTCGCTGATTTTTTCTCGAGCGTTTACTCAACTGCTAATGTCGATACTGAGTTGAACTTTGATTTCAGTCATAGTGGACTCGTCGACATTAGTTGTGAGCCAATATCAGATGAGGAAATTTTAGTGGCCTGTAGAAAGCTTAAAAGTAAATTGACTGCTGGACCTGATCAAATCCCATCTTTTATTGTTAGAGATTGTATCAGGAAATTAGTTCATCCTTTACGGGTTATCTTCAATTTAATCCTAACAACGACTGTTTTCCCCGATAAATGGAAAATTGCCAAAGTTTTCCCAATTCCAAAGTCAAAAAATTATCACTGTATCAGTGAATATAGGGTTATATCTATACTCAATAATTTTGCAAAACTCTTGGAGATCGTAGTGTACAACCGAATTTACCTGTCCACTAAAAATAATATTTCCATCGACCAACATGGTTTTATAAGGCAGCGTTCAACACTAACAAACTTAATGGTATTTAGCCAATATTTGTGCGATAGATAAGACAATAGATGACAGGTGGATGTGGTGTACACCGATTTCTCAAAGGCCTTCGATAGGGTCAGCCACAGTATTTTGCTCCGAAAGCTTGAGTACCTGGGCTTCAACAACATTTACTTAGCGCTCTTAACATCATATCTGTTTGAAAGGAAACAGTATGTTTTTTATAATGGCTACATATCACATGTTTATGTCTCAACCAGTGGCGTACCACAGGGTTCGAATTTAGGACCACTGTTGTTCATATTGTTTGTGAGTGATCTGTGTGAATCTTTGGCTTGTTTTAAGTTAATGTTCGCAGACGACCTAAAATTTTATTCATCCGTTTCATGCTTGGAAGACTGTGCATTTGTTCAAGGTCAAATAAATAAATTGCAACGCTGGTGTGCCAAGAATCAACTTCATCTTAATATAAGTAAGTGTAAAGTAGTAACTTTTTCAAGGAAAAACAACCCCATGATATATAATTATACAATGATCGAACATGTTCTTGAGCGCAGTGAAACTGTGAAAGACTTAGGTATCTACTTTGATCAACATCTAACCTTTAATGAGCATATCAATCAAATCATTTCAAGCGCTTACCGAACCTATGGCTTCGGTATCAGGAATTGTAAATCTCTTTGACGTTTTGACTTTGCAGACATTACACTTTAGCTTGGTTAGGTCTAAGCTTGAATATGGATCTTTGATATGGAGTCCGATTTACAAGCAGTATATTGATGTTGTTGATAAACTTCAAAAGAAATTTTTAAAATTTTCATGTTTTAAGATCGATGGCATATATCCTATAGAGGTATAGAATACAACATCCTTCTTCATAAATTTGGAATTCAATCCTTAGAATAACGGCGAATATAGATGAAAGTCAACTACTTTCATAACATCTGTAAATAGAGAAAGACGTAGTTGAGATGGGCATGTCTGTAACTATGAGCAACCGCAGAAAGCACTACTGCTTATTAGCTACTCATCAGTGCGATATAGATCTAGTAGTCCTGGAATAAACTCAAAATACTGTGCAGAAGTAGGAGGACATCGTCAGATTTCTTACATATTTCCGCAGAGGACTGCGCATTCAAAATTGCAATTCCAGGACAGCAACAGCTAAACATTGATCTACCTTTAGCGTATAGTGGAAATCTTTTGAAAAAGCCATATATCTGAATAAGTGCGTCATGCTGGGAAGTGCAAATGGTCAATCTTAAGTGTCACAAAAATCGAAAAAGCTATGCATAAGTGATACAACAATGTCACACCGATTTGTATTCGCAAGCACAAAAGGCCGCGGCTCGCACTATAATCAAAATTAATTCGTGAACTTAGAACAACCAAAATTGGAGCATTTTGACAAAATCTTTAATAAAAATCGAATATTTTTAGACCATATCAAAATCTGTGAAGTAATTTCAACAATGCCTAAACTCTGCCTATCCTAAAAGATTCTCTTCTTCCCCTTTGCTCTCCTTCTTCCTTGTCTCCTTTCCTTCCTTTTTTTCCTAAAAATTGTCTGCTTTCTGGGTTACCAGACCTGACAGACTGACAAACTGACACTGTGACTCAAGAGCTAAGGTCCCACGTACCGTTCTGACAACCAACGCTGACTTGAATGATGGACTTGTAAAAAAAAAAACATGTTAACCAAATGGCAATGATACACATTCTTACCATATAACCTTACAGAGTCTTCCGATTTCCCCATAGTGTTCTGAGCGATACAGGTGTAGGTGCCGTAATCACCTTTCGTGATGTTGTGGACGGTTAGGAGCATCACAGTCTTATACCCAGATTTCTTCTCTTGTACGGAGTACTTCTCACTGGAACAACAAATAAGCGAGTCGTAAAAAATCAAATAAATCATGCAAGCTGAGAGTAGAGGAAAAATATAGGAAAACATATTTTTTTCGTGAAGAAATAAAACTTCGGGAATATTCGACATACTGGACAAAAAAGATTATTCACATTATGTCTCCCCCACATACAGAACAGGGACCTACATCAAAAGTTTCTGGATGCAAGTGACGTATGTCTGCTTCCTTGTAAATTTGAGTAAAGTGATGTAACAGAAAGTTATAAACTTGGTACAATAGATCATCTCCATGTTAAAAAGACCCCTCAGTTCCAATTTACTTTTAATGTAAACAAATTATTGTGGTAAGTGGTCATCGAGTGATCGTATTTTTGCGAATTGAAGGCCACATTTCAACTAATGACAGCCTTCCGGTGGAAATATGCATTTTTCACTTCATTACGCTGGATTTTTTGACTTTTGGTCAAAGACGGGAAATTATAATGGGTCATCCTGAAGTTCCGGAAGGACAAGACAAGTAAAATTATAACGTCTCAGTATTTTTCCGTGGTTAATTAGTGGTGACCTCGATTTTGACCTCGAGCCTGAGCTTGAAGCTCAGATCAAGGTCAGTACGACTTGTTTAAACGTGATCCTTAACTATCGACTCTGCAAACGGATAGAGCAAGAAAAGCGCACGTTTAGATATAACTTGGATGAAACTGACCTTGAACGTGGTGACCAAGTTTGGTGATGAACCATAAATAAAGATTTAATAATTATAATAATGTCTTTATTAGCAACATAACAATAGGGCGACGTTTAGCCAGTTGGCTACTCTTACATCCAACCCTATTGTGTGATTAAATATGTATATACAATTCAAGGTCACACAGATCCCTGAGGGACACCTGAAAAAAACGGCAACAGAAGATGAGACACCCCTAACTGTTTTCACCTTTTGTTTACGATTAGTTAAGTAATGTTCATAAATTTAAGCGGAATGTCAGAAAGTCCAATATACTTTAACTTACTCACCAAAATTTTATAGTTAACAGTGTCGAACGCCTTAGAGAAGTCGACCATAACTTAAACTGTATTAATATGTTGTATGTATTATTTAAGATATTGTCTGACTAATGGAGAAGTGAAGAACTTGTACTGTGTCCAGCACGAAATCCAGACTGATGGACAGGAAGTAAATTGTTCATCTCTAAATATTAAATTAGATGGAGATAAACAGCTTTTTCTAATATCTTTGAAAAGAAACACAGTACGCTGACGGGTCGTAAATGATCAACAGTTATGGGATTTTTTACTTTGGCTAGATGAAGAATTATTGCTTAAATTCTGTTGATAAAATTCAGCTGTAGCATCAATTAAACGGGAATGGGTATGGGTATTTTGAAAATTTAATAAAAAGTGGTCATTAACTTCGTTTGGTTCTAATAAATTTAATGGAATCTCAGTATGTTTCTGAGGACAAACGTTCATCATCCTTAGTTGATCCCAGGCTTTCTTCGAATTTAATTGATCAAACCGTGTCTAAGAGGGTCAAGTGCGAAATTCCTCATATCTTTATAAATTTGCCAGTTACAATCGGAAAGATTCTGGTGAAATGTAGCTAGCTTTAGGACAGCAGAAGCTTCAATTGTCCCCAAACAATTCTCTAATGACCGTGAAACAGCTTAAGCATTACCTTTTCTGTCAAATAGGCGTTAAGAAAATTTTCTTTGACGGTACTTCTAAGCTTTCGAGACTGGAAATTTATAAAACGGAAATTTTCACGTCTAGCTACCTAAAGTGAATATTTTTGAAAAAATGTCTCTAAAAAATCTCTACCACTTGAAAATAACGGCTTTGAGATACGAGGGGCTGTAATTTCCCTGACTACTCATAGGTAAGTTTGGTACTGACCTGGGCCATGACCTTGACGTTCGAATCGAACTCTAGACAATCTTTAAGGTATTTTCTTTACCTAACTATTGAACTGCCGTCGGCGATCAAGCTCTCCTCTACCGTTATGTCAACGAGCTTTGCTGCTCAAAGCTAGTCCAATAATGCCGTAACGCGGTGTGTCTACCAAACAGACCCGCCTGACTACAGCGTTCCATCCTAACCGTGTTAAGCTATGTACATACAGAACTGGCCGATACGACCGGTCGTTTGGGTCTAAACTAAAACCAAGTCCAACATAGAGTTGAACATAACAAACGCCAATCGTGATATTCACGTGATCGGCCAGCAACAGGTGGACACGGCAGCGCTCATTGGTCAATTCATTGGCGCGCCGCGGTGCCGCCGTACCGCTACCGCGTCAGTACGGGAGCAGCCGTAATACAGAGTCACAATCAGGCGTTTGCGTGGTGTGTTGGCTTGCATCCTGCTGTTTTAGTATTTCCTCATTTCGCGGTTTTCATTTGCTTTTGTTAAGTTTTTATTGTATTTGCTGGATTTTTCATAGTTATTATCATTTGTTATTGTTATATATTACTGTGATCTGTAATCCAAGATGTCCAGTACAGATACTGCTGACGAGACTGTGAGTTATTGCTTGAGTCCAGTTAGAAAACGATCCAAAAGAAGACTTTGGAGTATCGAGATGAAAGAGGTTATTTTGAATGTGTTCAAAAAGGAGATAGGGGAAGATGGAACATCCTCGGTCGAAGACGTCCCTTCGAAAGTTGCTGATAGAGTTGAGGTATTAGATTTTTAATGCCTTGAGGGAATATAAAGTTAATCATACATTTTCCAAACCTAAGACAAATCAAAATCGTCCAAGCATTATAAAATCGATAGATGAGGCTGACAAACATGCAATACGGAGGAAAGTGCATGAATACTTTTTTAGAAATGAAATACCCACGGTGGAAAAAGTACTCACACAAGTAAATGAAGATGATATGTTGCCAAGTGTCAAGCGGTCAACATTTAATAAATTGTTAAAACATTTAAATTTCAAATGGAAGAAACAAGGACGCAATAGTTTACTGTTGGATAGGGAAGAACTCATAATCTGGAGAATATTTGACCGAAATCAAAAAATATAGGGAGCAAAAAAGGACAATTTATTATTTAGATGAAACCTGGGTTAATGCTGGTCATACTACTCCTAAGGTATGGATCGATGTAACCGTGACCTCATCTAGGAGGGCATTTCTAGATGGACTGTCCACCGGTTTGAAAAATCCATCAGGTAAACCATTAATCGTAACTTAGATACTAGTACAAAAGATACTTGAACATCCTCTAAATTATTTTGTCTCTCAGAGCAATTTGATTCTTAGAACCTCGTATCTTACATTGAAGTTCTGCCATCTGGGCTGTCAGGCATCTGTAGCTCAGTGGTAGAGCATCTGCGCGTAAAGCAGAAGGTCTCGAGTTCAAATCTCGACGGAGGCCAGTTTATTCTTCCGAATTTAAAAAAATCCGATTTCAAGTGTGTATTTCATCACTATGGTATGTTATTAAGTTACATACCAGTTCTCACTTCCAGGAAAAGCAAAAAGACTAATTGTTTGTCATATTGGCAATGAGAATGGGTTTGTTGCTGAAGGGCTGTGGTGTTCCGAGTCAAAGAAAATAGGTGATTTCCACGAAGAAATGAACGGGGAATCTTTCGAAAAGTGGTTTTCCAATGTCCTACCATAACTGGAAGACAACTCAGTAATTGTACTGGACAATGCGTCATACTCAGCTATTATTAAGAGCACTAAACTTAAAGCTAAATTTAGCAAAAAAAAAAATCAACAGGTCTGCTTTTGTTGATGATCTACAAGTATTCAAACGTTTGCGCCACTTGATAAAAAACCAGATTAAATCAGTGTATGATCAATATATTGAAAATATCCAGAATTCTTTAACAATTAACCCCAATGCTTTTTGGTCATACGTTCACTCCAAAAACAACACATAGTAAACGCATTCAGTGAGTTTTTCAGCATCGTCTATGTCACTCACAAGCCCCATAATAATGCCTCGCTAAATCATAGCAATTTATTTGTCCATTTTCATCCAATTGAGGAAAATGAAGTCATGAAGGCCATTAAATCACTAAAGGATAAGATGACATCTGGTCTAGATGGCATCCCGTCCGTTATAGTCAAAGATTGTGTGGAGGCGTTTGTTTGTGTTGTAACTAGGATTTTTAATATTTGTCTTATAATAAAAAGATTTCCAGATATTTGGAAGATCGCTAAGGTCTGTCCAGTGTTTAAGTGTGGGGATAAGTTAAATATTGAGAATTACAGGGCAATCTCTATATTATGCATGTTCTCGAAAGTCTTTGAAATAGTCTTGTACGGTCGCATTCACACTGCCGTCCAGCGTCAGCTGTCATTGCATCAACACGGATTTGTCGCTAATCGCTCAACAACCACAAATCTATTTATAGTAACGCAGGACCTCTCGGAAGCCATTCATGGTAATGAGCAAGTTGACGTAATTTATACCGACTTTTCGAAGGCTTTCGATAAAATTAACCACAAAACTTTATTAAATAAGTTAGGTGCACTTAGTTTCACAGATGATGCTAGGGAGTTGATGAAATCTTACTTATCCGAACGTACACAATTTGTTAGCTATAATGGCTTCCAATCTGAGACCTACTTGGCACCTTCTGGAGTTCCTCAGGGGTCCAACCTGGGACCATAACTGTTTTTAATATTTATTAATGACCTCTGTGACTCAGTTGAATGTGAACGCCTATGCTTTGCTGACGACCTGAAAATTTATTCGCAGATAAACTCCTGATGATTGTATCAAGCTACAACACCAATTAAATTTTGTGCTGTCTTGGTGTCTAGAAAACAAGTTGGAGCTTAATGTGAGGAAGTGTAAAATAGTCAGCTATACCTGGAAAATTAATGTTTCCGAATATCCGTACCCTATTGATGGGTCTGTGCTAGAAAGAAGCTCTGATGTACGTGATCTAGGTATAATCTATGATCAAAAGTTAACTTTTAGTCAGCATATAAATAAAAAAGCATCAGAAGCATTGGCGGCTTAGGGTTTCATAGTAAGGAATTG